AAAAAAAAAAAAGAAAATATAAATATATATAGAAGCCTCCAAAGCTTTCGACAGGGAAGCTTCACGTAAACTTTGTACTAGAATGTCCCTATCAAACACCTCTATTTTTCTACAATGATTGATTAAGCGGTTTAACAATGTATTTTGTGTCAACGATTTCGACTGAATTGGTACAAAGACAATTAAGAATTGAATGCTGTTAATTAACAATGGATTTTCAAGCCGTATATCCTGCGTGGTGTTTTCATTGACAGGAAATAGTTTAAGCCAGGAATTTCAGCTCTTTGTCCTGAGCAATATTCCAGGAAAGCTCAATTCCTGATGGGAATCTTTGTGGTAAATCACATTTAAGGGATATGGATATCATGGCATCTTAAGGTAATTGGCTACATAATTAATCAAGACCCATTACACCTCTGTTTCATTCATTAATATATTTTGATGACTTTTTCTCAGAGCRTTCTGTGATTTCCAGGAGGAAAAGGGTTTCCAGAGGTAAATTTGAGCTCCCGSTATCTCCTGGAGCTCCCAATTCCTTCTCCGGTGACCCGAAACGCCGCTGAGCGAGACTGAGACCTTCAGCCAACACTTCCAGCTCAGATTTATCATTTAACAACAATCACCACCTTATCAGCATTAAAATAAACCTCAGGAATTATTTTAAATTATCATCCTAAAATGCCAATATCCCGGAAAGYGCATTTAGAGTTTCTGGCCTGGATCTTTGCCCTACAACGCCAAAGCCATGGGAGCCATCCCAACAAATTCAGCAGCTCCAAAGCAGGTGGGATGAGGGGCTGGAAAATCCAGGAACATCAGCAGATGTTTGAAGTTCACTTCAGGTCTTTGGTGTTAAATCTGAGCTGTCCACGTTCTCCTGTTGGAGTTAAAGAGGTCACTGAGGCCTTCCAAAATCAGAGAAGAAAGAAATCCCTGAAATTCTGAAAATCCCTGTTGTATTTTTGTGTTTCCAGGCACAGGGCACCACACTGGGCTCTTCAGCCTGAATTCAGGGCTCTCTTCCCTCCAGGGGTATCCAAATCCCATCCCATTTTTCCCAAAACACAAACCCTGCCGTAAAGGCACTGACAGCTCCATCCCCACCAGGGATAGAATGTTCTCCTCATTCTATCTATTCTGGAACCTCCCCAGAGCCCAAATTTCCCCTTCTGCTGTGGAAGATTCCCTGCCCACGGCAGAGGGGGTGGGACCGGGTGATCCTTGAGGTGCCTTCAACCCCAAACCATTCCAGGATGCCACGATTCTGTAATTCAAGGTTTCTATCAAATCTTTGGGGTTTTTAATGGAAGAAGGGAAAATTCCTCTGAGCCAAAGCTGTGCACGAGGGTGCTCCTGGATGAATGGCAGGGGAAGGACGGTGCCCAGGGGTTTCACCCCCTGATCTGGAGCTGTTTGATCTTGGCTGTCCAGCGGCTGGAGCAGAGCACAGCCCTGGCAGGATGCACCGTGTTATTCCAGAAAAGCTGGGATACCTCTGACTACTGCCTTTTGCAGATTTGGGATTGAGGTGATGAATTTC